TATTTTCCAATGCTAACTTAGTTTATCACATAAGTATTCAACACATTCAAATGAGAGCTGTGAACTGAGGCCAGAACTTCACAGACTATCTCTGAGAGGTTACAGTCATTCAGTCTGAGGAGACAGATCGATAAATTATGAAAAAAAAATAAAGCCATGCATGCCAAAACTTCAAAAGAAACTCTGGGCTGATGGAAACATCAGGAATAAGAGAACACGAGAAACTGAAGAAATACCAAGGGCTCAAGGAAGAACTAGAGAAAGCCTGTGAGGATAAGGCAACTGTAGTGCTGCTGGTTATCGGAGCACTGGGGCAATAACACCCACAGTGGCTCAGACAGATACCTTGAGAAACAGCAGAGATCTCAGTCCAGAAAAAAGATCAGAGGATAGCCCTCAAGCTCCCAGGGTCTGGTAGAGGACCTGAGCTGGAGATGAAGAAACCCTCCCACCCTGCCGAGTAGCACGAGGGGTGGGTGAGAGAGCATTTTTTATACACAATCTATGAATATTTGAATATATCTTTCATTTAATGAGTACCTTTCTACACTGTGAGATCAATAAGTCAAACAATCAATTTCGACCAGTTTTTAGCATTCACTGACTTACTAATTTCAAATTTAAGCTATTATTTTACCAGTTGATAACAGTAATGAATCTTTTATATATTTTCTTATGTATTTTTTGGAAATATTGATCCTCCATACTGCATTAAATAAAGTAAAGTTAGAAGTGAAAACACAGTTTATGTACTAAAAATGTATTTTGTTTATGTAAACCAAACTAATTTGAATGGGAAACTTGGATATTTCAGAACCCGCCCTTTGCCCATTTGCTTGAATCATAGATCATAATCATATCTTAGTAAATGCTTGTAGTTTTACTCCAGGGTTAGTTTTATTGCAATTGCAACCAATTAGATAATTAGCGGTCAGTTTCTTCCTTTCCTTTCAAGGCTGGACAAAAGATTTTTTTAAGTATTTTAGTCTGCAATTGTTTTTCATCTCTTTCAGGGGTGAACAAATAAAAAAAATACTTTTTGTCTCACCAACAGCATTCATGAGAAATATAATTTCATGCCCATATTAAAAAGCTTATTTGGGTCTTTTAGATCATCAATTTGATTAGTACTTATTTCTATAAAACATTTTTTTTAAAACTGTAAGTCAAAGATTTATTTGACCACGATAAAAGTCTCTCTTTCCTGGTTTTAGCACTTGGTGTCCAAACCCAAATTCTGTCAATACTTACAGAACTTTGTTTGAAGCTTTGACCACTGGCAGCAGCCTGAGAAGAGCCTCCTCTGAAGCAGAGTATTTCTTCAGGTCAAACACATCCAGATCTTCTCCTGATGTCACTAAGATGAAGGCCAGAGCTGACCACTGAGCAGGAGACAGTTTATCTGTGGAGAGACTTCCTGATCTCAGAGCCTGTTGGATCTCCTGGACTAGAGAACGATCGTTCAGTTCATTCAGACAGTGGAACAGGATGATGCTTTTCTCTGCAGACAGATTATCTTTGATCTTCTCCTTGATGTACTGAACTGTCTTCTGATTGCTCATTGAGCTACCTCCTGTCTTTGTCATCAGACCTTGTAGGAGAGTCTTACTGGTATCAGTAGAAAGACCCAGGAGGAACCTAAGGAACAAGTCCAGGTGTCCATTTGGACTCCGTAAGGCCTTGTCCACGGCACTCTGATGGAGATATGTTAGATGTGGGTTGTAAATCATTTCAGACCCAACTGGAATATGTTGGCTTTCTTCCATCAGATTGACTCCATATTTGATGAAGGTCAGATGGACATGAAGAGCAGCCAGAAACTCCTGAACACTCAGATGGACAAAGCAGAACACCTTGTTCTGGT